TAGCTGTTCTAGTCTGGGTTTGATGGAACTTTTTGTGGACAGGACAAGGGTTTTAAACAGTGAGCACATTATTGCCACATGCTAAAAACTAGCATGTAGCCTAAAATCTAGATTTTTGCGTGGGGTGATGAAATCTAAAAGTACTAAGGCAGTTTAAACAAGTTATCTAAACAGGTCACATGTGAGAGATACCACATCTGAAAGTGGTGTGTGTGGTTTTTTTAATCAAAGAAAATAGTAATTAATCTTCTATTTACCCCTCACAATGAGGATTACTTAGTGCATATTTAAACTGCATATAAGATTTAACTACCGTGCAAACTGCCCCAACGCTGCCCTGCCAATGACCTTAAGCACAACATGGAAGGAAGGCCATTCTCTGTAGAAAAGAGAAGTAATTTATCCACTACGATTGTTTGGCCCCAGCCCCCTTCTCTAAAACTGAGGCTGACAGTTGTGTTGAATTATGGATAGTGTATTTGCAGTGTGTACAATAATCTCCTAAAGAAAGTGTTGAGAACATCAAACTTATTTTACTTATAATTTCAGGCTATGTTTAAACAATGTCCTTGGAGCAGATGTAATAGTTGCTAAATTTTTTAATCTCCACAAGCATTTTACTTATAATGGCCGCTATCTTCCAAACACCAAATCCACAGTAAATCCAAATGCAAGCAATGGAACTTGCTCCTAAATAGTGGGGAGAACTGAAATCATGATGTCTTAATAGAATCTGTTTCCTTAGAGTAAATAAAAATAGTGTAAAAACGATCAAAGCCCACAAAAGAGGATGGCTCCCTGCCCCCTTTTAATGGTGTGCTTTGTTTTTCTTTTACTTGAGGTTACCATATCACCCCAAACATGCACTCACATTCAGGATTTATCATAGCCCCTCAAAACATAATAAATTTCTCTTCTCTAGCTTAAGGGATCCATCAGTTAAAATGTTAGTCTTTCATCTTTATTACCCTCCCATTAAAATGAGAGAAACCGGGACTCACTTCAGTTTAGAAGAAGCAATTTGGTCGGTAATGTCCTTACTACTCAAGTCTTTACAAAGAGAGAAAAGTGCATTACCGCTTATATTTCACACATATATCTGACTAAGAAGCAAGTAAACCTTTCAGATGCATACTATGTTAAATTTAATAATATTCTTTGATTAGATTATTTTATTGCAACATTTTGCCATTGCCAGTCATTCCCCATACACATTTATGTTAATAAAACCTGCAGTTTTTTAGTCTGTCTCTCTCTCTCTGTCTCTCTCTCTCTCTGTGTGTGTGTGTGTGTGTGTGTGTGTGTGTGTTTGTTTGAAGACGGCCTGCTCTTCTACAGCTGTTAGATCTGAAATGGACAGATTAATAACTAACCATCACATTGGACTAGGTTTTTTTGTACATTGCACCAGTAACCCTTTGCTATAATGAGGACACAAAGAGCTTCGCATCAAGGCTGCGCCTCTTCTTCATAACTCAAAAGCGTCACAGTGGCAATAGTCTCTAGTGCTATTTGTCTTTAGTGCAGTTGTGACACTTCGGCATGATCCATAATTTGGCAGCTATTTACCGTGACATTTCCCTTCAGTGCAGCCATAACATTCAGCGAAGCCATTATTTGGTTCCATTTACCATATAAATTGTATTGTTGTGCATGCATGCTAGCAGCTATATTAGGCACCTGAAAATGAGTAAATCTTGTAAAATAGATACTAACAGCTATTCAGCAGTGGAGTTCCTTTCTAGCTCAGACTGAAGAAAAGCAAACAAACAAACAAATAACATTTCTGAATTCTGCTGCAAACTTTTCCCTCAGCAGCTGCAATTATCTGTATTTGCACAGCATGGCAATTATACTCAGCAATTGGCTTCTCCTCCCCCACAAAAAAATTAACATTATAATGTTATTGAAATATGATTTAATTTTAAACGGTATTAAAATACTTCAGTGCAACAGTTCAATAAAAAATGTACAGGGTAAAATGTGCAGAATACTGCAAATGAATATATTTGGTGGAGAATATATATGTGTATCTAAAAAACAAGTACAACAACATTACAGGTTTGGCCTTTCTTGACACATTTTCCTTGTCTGTTTTGCTATATGTAGAAAAACTACTGTCTGCAAACATCCAACTTTTTCCACAGCAAGCAAATTTGAGTGGAAAGGTTAAATTAAAAGTTGGGGGTGGGGGAGGCGCAATATGCAGTGCTATCCTAGGTGTAGCTCCTCAGAAGTAATTCCCATTTAGTTCAATGTGACTTATTTCCAAGCATGTGGAGGTCTGCAGCCTCCTTGAGTTATTTTCTTAAAAAGCCAATTCTCTATATAGAATATACAAGACATTTCCTAGACGTTTTATAATTGGTATTATACTATTATTGGTATTCAGTCTGAATGAATTTGCATTCATTTAAGGATTAACTCTGTAAAGAGTTTTTAAAGTATCTTTTTTATAAAACAGTCAAAGCCAGGATCCAAAGTTCTGTGCATGCAACAGGGCGTTTCTTGACCACCAGTTGCAGGACAGCCCCTGGTGTTCTGCCTGTCATACTAATCCAGGATACAAGACTGCAATGGGCTACAGCTGGAAAGGAAAACCAGCAAGTTGTCCTAGCAAGTTGAAGCACTTTTCAATCATCCACTGCTAGGCAATCTGGATCTTGGCCCAAGTGTATTCACTGTTAATCCCTTGCAATGAACTGACAGTATTTCCTGTCCATATATGTTTGTTATCTTATCATTAATATACCCTCATTCTGACCACTACCCATAAGAAGTACTACTTCTTATGCTGCTGCCAAAGACTTCTGCATTATTTAAATTCATCACTTACTCGGAATCAACATAATTTATACTATGGTGAGGCAACAATAAATATTTTAAGTAAAAGCAGGGATATGTGGATTTAATAAAAAGTGTGTGTGTGTGTGTGTGTGAGAGAGAGAGAGAGAGAGAGAGAGAGAGAGAGAGAGAAAGAGAAAGAGAGAGAGAGAATAATCCAATTATCAGGCACAATAGGATACACACATCAGGACTAAGAATTACCTGTAAACACCAAGCTTTTCCACACCATCAAAGTGCCACCCTACCACACCTAGCTTGATTCAATGAAGAATAGCCTGGCGAAGAAAACAAGAGAACAGCAGCAACAATGCAGCAGCAACAGCAAGAATGTTATGTGCAAAAATCTTTGGGTAAATTAGTAAGCTCGGAAACTATTGTTTCACATCTAAAGAGAATAAGATGCAGTTGTTAACAAGCACACAATCCAGGTTATGCAACCCATAGTTAAGCATTTATATCCCATTGATTCCAGTGTTTAACTATCTCATTCCCAGTTCACACTTTGGGGCATGTGCATTTGCTGTAAAGTAGCAAAGTGTGAAGTGGAGATACTTGGATGTAAACACGCTGAGGTGGACATGCACCCGGGAGCCTCAGCAAATGAGGACTTAACAGTCCACTGTGAGTCTACAATCATGTAAATGTGTTTCACTCATGAAGGTATTCACTAACGTCAACACTGGTGTGCATACCTATTGATATTACTCAATCCTCTCTAGGTCTACATAGACAATACCGGTAAGTTTCGATCAATTCAAAGGTAAGTGGGCATAAAAATACAACCTGAACATACTTGTTAGGAACATTCTTTAATTTAAATTTCAACACTAGGCCTTTACATATATATATATATATATATATATATATATATATATATGATACTGAAACTGCCTCTTCAGCTTTGACTCATTTGATGTCAATTGTTACGAACTGAAACAGAACAGAATTGGGGTTGGACAAGATGATCCTTGGTGGATCCCTACCAACGTTACCGTTTTATGATCATGTAGAATTACTTACTTTAAAAAGTATGGAATTGAATGCTGTAACCATGCTTCTAGGTAAATGTGGTTCTTCACTATGGGAATCAATCGGATGCGTGCGCACACAACTGGGAAGGAACACACTCCACCTGGCTGAAATCTTAAACTTAACTATTTTGAAGTAAGGCCCAATGAAATCAGCGGGACTTATTTTTATTTAGATATTTTACACTACCTTTCAGGGCATAAACGCCCCTCTCAAGATGACTTGCACAGTACTTATGATTGGGGTGTAAATATTTTAATGTTTTGTAATAGTTCCTCAAAGAGACAGAATTGTGAAACTCAAGTGCTCAGGGTCTAAAATTTGGGGGGGGGGCAGGCTTTGGTCATTTCACATCTCTATGTGCTGAAGCATATTATAACGATGGCTCCTTATGTCTAAAACTGAATTTTCTTCTCCACAGTTGTGCTGTACGGAGAAACAAATAGCTGTCTCCACTTTTGTTCACCACCAAAGGGAAGCCAAATACTTCATCCTAATGAGAATGTTTCCATAGGGTGATCAGCTGCTGGATCCAAAATATACTTTGGGTTTCACCTACCAAGCAAATTTTCCAACATCCCAGTCCAAAACCCAGTTTAATTGGAATACCTGGATTTAAGCCACTTAAGGTCCCACTGAAATTGGTGGTGCCGAGCTGGCCTAAATCCTACTACTTGGGTGTGCTTTTAGCTACAGGGCAGCAGGAATTTTAAAAACCATGCTTATGAACCTAAAAGGGGAATCTGTTCAACAAAAAACATTAGAGTGCCCTTAAACGAGAACACTGATTGCCAGAATGCCTGAAAAAGCAAATAGCTGAAAGTGGAGAATTGCTACATATTTTAAAGTACCAGTTTATTCCACATGTCTATTGTCTTTGGAAACAGTAAACACTCTTTTGCATCTTCATCTTAAAGAGATTAACCCCTTCTCACAAAACAACAACTAAACAGGCAATCTGAAGCCAACTAAGAAACATGGCTTGTCTGCTTAACAGTAGGTCCCATTCAGCAGAGATTCAGTGGGGCTTACTCAATGGTAAGTAGTCATAGGACTGCAGTTGAAGTTGCACAAAAAATAACGGCAGAGAATAAATGGACAACTGAAGCATATTGTAAAAATAATAATAGTCAAAATGATTTTAATTCTTTAAAACAATATAAATTCTTACAAAGGTTGAAATATAAATTATTACAAAGCTTCACCTTATTGCATAGTTCAGCACGGTCTTCTGGTGCCATTATAAGCAAGCGATCTAGTCACCACCATTTTCTTGTAAGGTGAGGGGCTTTGTTAACGCTGTTCTTAAGATTGCCTTAACATTAGTAGAATGTATCATTACACCAAAGTTAACCCAATCAACGGGTTAATATAGCCAAAAGAATAGTTAGAAAGTGGTATTACAACATGAAGATTTCAAAATATAACTATAAAACCTTATATGAAATTAAAACTGTCATTTAAAAACAAAAGCTGACATTCATAACTAGTAAAATATATCTTTTGAGTTACATAAATCTGCATTTTATTATTTTATTTGCAAGCAACACAACTGAAAAAAGATAATTTCTCATTTTTAAATTATATCAAGTGCAACCGGCTAAGATGCTGCCCTGTGCTACTGAAAAGCACTCTTGCTTGACTCCCATTGCTCAAGCAGAATGTCCAGGTGAATTGCACCCATCCTTTTTTATAGGAAGAATCGATAATATTGATTTCACTTAAAATATTAATATGCCTTTATTTACTCAATTCTAGACGAAAGCTGTAGGTGAAGATTTCATAGTTGGCCAGATTCAAATCCAATGCAAGTTTAATCACAAGTTCGCTCAAAACTCCCAGACAAAAACGCAGAACTGTTTAATGCAATGCCAACGACACATGGCATTTTTAAAGAACACAAAGCCACTTAAATTCAACAAATATTTTTTGACGAAAGCCTACATGCTATTTTTTAATATGTTACCCATTGGCAACTTTAAAGAAATAGTTATTGTGAAGCATAAAGTGCCCATTTTCCCTCTTTTGATTTATATCATTGTTCTGTTTTTACAGCTTACTGTTGACAGAGTGAGGTAATTCAACTACAATTTTTCCAATGTTTTTCCCCATGTACATATAATCTATAGCGTGGAATACGGACTCTAAGCCAGCGAATTTGCCCTCTGGAGACATGTCTCCAAGGTCCACCTCACAAACCAGTTCTCTGTTTTCACACATTTCGATCAAGTGTTTCATAGCCGTTTGGTATTCAGAAAGGTAATGGTTTAAGAAGAAACCCCGGATGCTGGCAGATTTCCTTAGCAGCTTTGCTGGCAACATTTCCACATGACCAGGCTGAAGGCCAGTACGGGTTTGGTAGCCAGAGATAAACCCAATAATGATCAGGCGCCCTTTGGTAGCCAAGGAGCTGACAGCCAAGTCAAACATCTGCCCGCCGACAGATTCATACACCACATCCACACCTTTCGGGTAGTCCTTCTTAAGGACAGCAGCAAGGTTTTCAGTTTTGTAGTTGATAGGGTGGTCACAGCCTATGGATTTCAGAAAGCCAGATTTTTCATCACTGGAGCATGTTCCTATTACGTGGCATTTTGCCTTCTTGGAAAGTTGCACGGCAAACTGACCGGTTCCTCCTGCTGCGGCTGTCACCAGAACCGTCTTCCCGTCAGACAGTTCTCCAAGCTCCTTCAGGCTGATATATGCTGTAGTTCCACTTACCAGTAGTGTAAGAAATTCGGGTTTCATAGAGGGTACCGGGATGGCTTCTTTGGCAGGAACAATGGTATATTCAGCAAAAGCACCAGGCCTCATGTAGGCCACTGGTTGGCCCACTGTGTATCTAGCGCTGGCACTTAGACCCAAGGCTACCACTTCACCAATTCCTTCAAAACCTACGTCAAATGGGGGCTTAACTGACGTGTCATATCGGCCAGCTGAGTAGTTAATATCGGATGCATTAATGCCGACAAATCTAGAAGCAAACAAAAATGTATTAGGCTCTCTTTTTTGACAAGGCATTTTTTTCGTCGTAAGAAAAACCTTTCGCTTAAATGCACAAGGTAAGAAATTTCAATGCTGCATATTCAAATATCTCAAGAGTTGGGGGTGGGGTGGGGGAACGCCTTCTATGCAAAATGAAAATGGAAAGGTTGTTTTAATCTGGTTTTAGCTTTACCGATAACATAATTTGACATATTTTGTACATGCAAAGCATTTTCCCCTTGCCTGTTTCATGAAAATAAGAACAGTAGAAATGAGTTTTGATAAGCTAGGGAATAAAACTACTTTTTTCTATTAAAAAAATACAGCAGACTAAAATATGAGCAAAGTAGTAAATATGTTGACTCTGGCAATAAATTTACATTTCAGATTATAACAACACATTTAAGTGACTAATGATAACATGAAGTATCAATGTCCTCTCCAAGGTCGATGGTCATAAGTGTTACTGCAGGCAAATTTAAAGAAAATGGATGGAGTGTCTGTAACAAATTTGCCTTTTGATGCAACTAATTTGCACATTATTAAAATATTTTGCTGTATACAAATTACTCACAACACCTTAAAACAACCTTGAAGGACTAAAATTATGCAACAATACTTTTGAGCACTATTGACCTCTAACGAGTAAAAATGAACATAAGTATTAAAAAGGCACAAGTAATTTAATGATGGGTGGTGAAGAGGCTTATGATGCTGAAATACAAGTTATCTGTACGCACACAGAGTTTGCAGCCAATTTTCCCACAGAAACCTGAAAACAAAAATATGATTCTGTCATAAACAGCAATGTGACTGTTTCTCTTCTATAACCAAAAATAAACAAATTATGGCATTTAATTATGTGGAAGTGTGAAAATATGTGAAAAATTGATTTTAATGCAACTAGAGAGCTGTTTGTGGATTTATGGTAATTTGAAATAGCTGGCACACAGCGAAACAACAGAACTGAAGGAAGTGCACTGGCCATTTCTAACTCTAAGAAAAATCTCTTTCATTTATTAAAATGTACAGAGTTCAATACAGATAGCTAGATACAGAAATAGATGCGTATTCAACAGAGAGGCTGTGTCTTCTGTATGTCTCCCTAATTCTTCATGTAATCCAGTCTGCGTCTGTAGCAAGGAACACATTTTTTTACCTCTTTTTTAGAAAACAAAGGCATCCCCATCCAGTTAAAATTTACATAACTCCTATTTCCCATTCTGAAAGGGGAGCGTAAGAGAGGAGGGCAGATTCCAAGGTAAAGGGGCTGAGGTTGCCTTGAGTACGTGAGAAAGGAAAGATCAGAGAGCCAAGGTGCAAGGTCGGAAGGGCTCCGACACAACACGACAACTCCCTGCTTTTTGCGTTACACCCCACGCAACTACTTCTCGCAGAGAGGCTGCTAAGCCAGAGAGTCCGCTGGGCGCGCAATCGGCCTCATTCATTCATCCCCGCACAGGGTCTCTTGGGCGGCACGGAGAACCTGCCTCTCCCCGCCCCCCAGCGCCCGAAGTCACACAGGCAGCATGCGAGGGGGGCTTGTCCACAGCCTTCCTTCGGCAATCCTAATTGTTGCGCCCCTTCCCTTCCCTTCCCTGTCCCGGCGCTGCAATGCTTGCGCTTGCTCCAACAGCCCGTGCAAGCGGTGTAAGAAAAGTGACTCCAGAGCAAAGTCGGGGCTTTGTGGTCCGATTTAGGCTGCACTTGATTTGCAACAACCCAGACTCGTTGCAAAGCAAACGGGACTTGCCAGTTTCACACACCCATGCAAAATGGTGCAGGACAGGGCTGAGCCAGCAGAAATGCACAACTTCGGCTTAGCCAAGTAGCGTGCCTGGAGACACGAGCTTTCCCCTCGGTGCAAAAAGTCATATTACCCTATACTAAAACATCGCTGGCAAGGCGGGCAGATAAAGACATGCGGCTAAAACGAGGATGAACAGGGTGGCTTAAAAACAACAACCTGCAAGTAGCCGAAGGGGCTGGAAAACTCAGTCGCACCTTGTTAACAATAACAGGTGAAAACGCCCCCCCCCGGTGATCTTTCCCGCCCCGAATGCATTGCAACTGAGCACCTGCTTGCAAATGGGTGCGTGTGCAAAAAGGGAGAGGCTCAGCTCCACGTTGCCTATCTATGGGGCACCCCAGCGGGAAGGGAGCATGCCAGCCTTGGCCCCCAGCAGAGCGGGAGCGCGGGGCCCGGCTGGGTCCTCCTGGGGTCGGCTCAGGGGAGGTCGGCGGGAGGTCCCCTCCCTCCCAGGCCCCTCCGCCTCCCGCTTTGCCCTCTCTGCCAGCACATGGCCACTTGCAGTTCGCCCTCCCCTCGCGAGGCGAGCCTCCTCCTGGCGCTGCTCGCGTCTCTTCCGTGGCTCAGCTGGGAAGCGCAGGCAGAAAGTCTCCGGGCAGGCTGTGCAAAGGAAAGGGGGCGAAAACAACGTACTTTTTTAAAAAATCATTTCTTCCAAAACAGAGTTGCGCCCCAATCCGCGAGATGCATCTGAAACCTCTCTCCCACCACTCCTCCATCGAACTCCAAGATAAGGGCTGCGTTTAGGAAACAAGCCCTATCTTTTCCCAGCCTCTGCTCGAAAAAGGCGCCTGCCCTGTCCAGATCTTTCTTTCCGAAGTAGTGGAAACACTGTTCATTTTCGTTATTAATCAATACCACCCCAAGTTCAGCTACCCCCACTCTGTATTAAAATACAACTCTGGATCCCAGCCCCGGCGGGGGGGGGGACTACGTTCCTATTTCAGCAGTGGTGTGGATAATAAGGGGAATTATTGTGATTTTGCTCTACGTTGTAATTTTTTTAATTCTGATGAGGTATTCTCGAGGAGAAATCAATGGCCTCCCTGCCATTCCCAGGACAAAGTTACACTAAGGAAGGGGGGGAGCGGTGCAGGGTTATTTGGCGATTTGTACAGACCCGATCCTCTACCTGCTTACTCGCGGGAAATACACGCACTGGCAGTAAATCCCATTAGACTCAGTGGAGATTCTGGGAAGAGATGGGGAGGATTGTGCTGTCAAGTCTCCCTTGGGCTTACTAGGAAGGTCTGCAGCCTGCGTGTCGGTGGCTTCCAAGGGAAGATGCAAGTTCAAGATCAGCTTGCAAACTTGCGTGGAGGAGGAGAGTTGGCAACCCGCAGTCATTGTTCTCTCGGTTAAGTACGTGACCTTCATCGGGGGGGCCTTCGCTACCCTCCTCCCAATTTTGTGGTTTGCATTTCCCTAGGAAGCGACCCAAGCCTTTCGCAAATATGCAAAATGAGAGCAGCGATACAATTACTAATACTAATACGGATCCGAGCCGTCCCCACCCCAGTCCCCCACTCCACAATACAGTAATAATTGCAGGCTGACTCGCCCCGGCTTTATTTATACTAACACATTCTATTTGAAGGGAGAAAAAGGGGAGGGGGCGAAGCGTCTTCAAAGTGGGGTTAGAAAGCGGCTTCGTTTACTCAAAAACAACTTGCAGAAGTCAGGAGACCGAGGGGGTAGGGCGAGGACCTTGAGCAGGCAGACACAACAAAGTCACCCAACCCAGGAGCACGCCAGGAAAAGGGGGAAAAGCTCCCAGACCAAACAAGCGCAATCGCTGAGAACACTTCGCCCCACATTCCTATTTTTTTCCCTATCTCCAAACTCCCTCCCTAAACCCATGTCTTGCTTCCCACTTTTCCTACCCAATTTTCTGTATGATATCCCCTCTAAACAGAAAACCGAGCCCCCACTATGAGACCCGCCACTTTTTATTTTAAAGAAACACACACAAACACGCACTTACTCTTCCTGGGTCACGTATTGGCTAAGATACCCAGAAAATACCTTTCGGGGTGGGATGGAGCTCAGACAAAGGTACGGAGTTATATAAATGGCTTAAAAAATGCCCCCCCTTTAAATTTATTTATTTGTTTATTAATCCTGGTCCTCAATCCTCTTTTACCGCCCAATCACACCTCCCACAAAATGATCAGAAGTTTAATGTTTCAAATCGATTCTCAGTTTGCGGACATTTCTCTCGGAATAAGAGGCCGGAGTGATTTTTTATTTTATTTTTGCTGTTCAGAAAATTATCAGAATAAAGGCGAGGGAGCTGTTTTCCAGAGAGAGGGGGAGGGACACTTAAACAAAATATTGTCCTAAAAAAAGAAGGAAAGAAGTTAAACGAACTTAAACTGCACCAAGGCAACATGTGCGTGTGTCTGTTTTACTTGGGAGAATGGGGTACTATTTTGCATTATGCCATTTTCTCTTTTCATAGGAGTTATGGGGCTAATATGTTTATTCTCCACCCACCGCAGCAGCTGATTTTCTTTTCTGTTTCAGTTTGAGATAAAGTGTACAGTATTTTCAAAGCTAGACTACGCTCCCCCCCCCGAGTGTGTACAAGGTATTGGGCGTGGAAAGAGAGAGAGTCCCGTGTAAGCTTTCAAGGTAGGCACAGGCGTTAGGTAGAAAGGTTTATTCTTAACACGCTTTATTCCGCACTAATTTTGCAGTCTCTCCTGCCTTGGGTGAGAAGCTCCAGCAACAAAACTGAACATCTCACGCAAATCCACATGACACAAAAGTTGCGAACTCCAATCCTGTGATTTCTCACACGCACCTTTTGCAAACTAAAAAAAGAGAAAGTGTTTTTTTTTTAAAAAAAAAAAAACGAGTTACGATCCTTGGACTCTCTTTGCCTGAGTCCCTGGGTGAATGCTGCTCTATCCCCCCTTGCCTCCACTTCGGAGAACGCACGAGCACATCTTTCCAGTCCCCAGAGAGCCCACCCAGTATCAAGGGCAGGAGGGGAAAGAGTTACATTGAAAACAAAATAAATTGCATGCATAAATTTTCAAATTTCATGGGGGAGGGAGAAAGTGTTGCGGGGGAGGAGATTCGAGAACAAGGACGTAGCAATCTTCCGATAGGCAGCAGGGAGGCCAGGATATATTTTATCTTCACGCAGCATTTTAAACCAGCCGATCCCCCCCCCATATCCCCCAACCAAAGGAATTTAACTGCAGCATGAGTGAGATTTTTATTAAGGCTTCACATATTTTTGCTCTCCAAAATACTATGTCCTGATGACAGCAGCAATTCAAACCTTTGACACCAGGGAGGGCATCTCTCCCTGTATTGTGGGTGTTGTACATTTCATAAAACATGAACATTTTGCTAGGGTTCAGATACAGGTATGATATACGCTGCCTTTCATACTGAAAACTGTGTGTATTGTTTGTGTGTAATCCACAAATCACATAATTCTGTGCATTTGTGCTTAATCTATTTTAGCCCTATTGGTTCCAACAGGGCTAAATTTACTGAAATGCAATTTATGCTAGATTAGCAACCAAGTAATCACTTCTAAATATTAAAAAATGGATTGTTAGGGATGAATCTAAGGTCTACCTGAACCTCCTCCAACACATAGTCACCAAACTCACAATCACACCTTTAGAATTCCATTCTCCCATGGATTTTTAAGATTTCCACTTTTAAAGTCCCCACTTTGATTGTAAGATATTCTATCATCTAGAAAGGCGGCAGCAGCAGTAGGAGTATTATAATAATAAAAATAAAAAATAATAATAAATATTCCTAAGATTGTTGAAGTAGAGGTTTTGTTCTACAAATTTTCAGGTATATGGAGAGGACAGCTCAAAGAAGAAAATGAGAACTCAAGTCCTAGTTAGCTACTTAGCTAGCCCACAATTTACAGCATATTGCTTTAAGCAAAATGTGACGTCTTTACTTCATCCATGACCTGGATGCATTGCAAAAGCAGCTCAAACCAGGCAAAGGAATCGTCTGAAAATAGTGTCGAGGGCTACAATCCTGATCAGACTTACTTGGAAGTAAAGGTCACTGAAATGAAAGGGGTTTACTTCCAAGTAAACATGGTGAGGTCAGGGAGGGGAGCTGCTTATCCCCATTTACCTCCTCCGGTCTGTGGCTTCTGCTTTGCTTTAGTCGTAAAAGGAGGAAGAGGGCCAGGGAGTGAAGACACTCAAGAGTGACGGGGAGAGGTGGGTGGTAGTCATTTGTGGCCCTCTGCTTTCCTGTTGATTTCTGGCTTGCTTAAGGTTAGTGACGTGGAGGACCGGGGTGGGGGAGGGGTGGAGAATCAGGCAGAGTTGCACACATAACTTGCTCTAAACAACGTCTGGAGTGTGTTACATGCGCGCGCACAACCCCCCCCCCAAGACTATAAATAACCTATATACAACGTCCCAATTGCTGTGTATTAATCACACACAGAGATCTACGCAGCTCAGTCAGTTTTACTGTATAAAACATAGCCCTCGCAGATCCACAAAACAAGTCAGGGGCGCTCGCTCATGAGAACACACGGACACAGACACAGAGACACACACACACACACACTGACAGTTGTAGGAACATGGAACAAACATTTGCAGGCAGAAATCTGGGCGGGACTTGGAAATCATTTCCTGGTTGCTGAACTCCCTTCCTGAACTTTCCCGTCGCATACAACTTTCAGATCAGCAGATGCACATGATACATCTAAAGCACGTTCCACACACACGGCGTCCCCCCCCCAAGAATCCCGGGAACTGTAGTTTTCCCCTAACAGAGGTACAGTTCCCAGCCTCTTTAACAAACTATAGTTTTCAGGGTTCTCTGGGGGAAACCATGTGCATTGAATGTGCTTTAAACGTAAGGTGTGGATTTGATGGGAAACTATCAGGCTTGTATCATTCTTAATACCTGCTGTCCCTCCTCCCCGTGATTCCTTTCAGTTTAACACATCATTAAAAAAAAAAAGAGCAGAGGGAGGGGGAGAGCGAAGCAATATACACATTTTACCTCTCAGCAAATGGAAACGTTTCATCATTTGCACAGAGGTGTGTGTGTGCGCGCGCGGGATTATGGCGTAAGCCATTCACAACAATAAAATTAAATCAGCAGTCGCCAGATGGCAGCTGGTACGATTTGATAGGATCACATCGAGTGAATGACTGCGTGCACACGAGAGAGGAGGCCAAAAGGGTGTGAGAAGTTAGGAGAAGCAGTAGGGCAGGAAAGGGGGATCGCATACCCCACCCCCCCAAAAAAAAAACCCCACGGAGAAGATGCAAAGAAGAGTTGGAGAAAAGGGAGTGAGAAAATGACGCGAGGGAGGGGGAGCAAAATCTCACCTGTTTCTGACAAGCAGATCGCCGTCTCCCGGGAGTGGCACAGGCGTATCGTGTCGTAGGCTCACAGCCTCTCGGAAGTTTGAGCTGAGCTTCGTCACCACCAGCTTCTTCATGGTGGTGGGGATGGACGAGCCGTGGAAATCCAGAAAGTGGCGGGAGTAGGACATGTCCACGATGGGCCGGGGCCGAGCACCACCCAAGCAAGACCGGAGGGGGCTCGTCCAAGGACGCCGCTGCAGCCAGCACAGCTGAGCTCCCCAAGACCTCAGCAAGGCGCTGCTCTGGGCGTGGAAACTCATGCCTAATCCCGCATCTCGCTCCGTGCTTACCGCCCTTTGCTCGGCTTTCTCCGCACCCCCTGGGCGCTCTTTCTTCCTCGGCTAGGAGGGTTCTTCCACAGGCATGCAAACCTCAGCACAGGCTGCAGGAGACAGGCTCTGCACAGACCGGTTTGTGTATGTAAATAAAGTCTATTGCAGCAAGCTGTAGCCTGCCTCGAGACCTCCCTTCCCAGCCTCTCCACAATACTCAGAGCAGCAGCCGCAGCAAAAAATCTCCTGCAGCTGATATTGTGCTACCGTCACTAGTATTTTTTTAAAAAGAAGGGGGGAAAAAGAAACCCAACAACAACATCACAGGGGCAAAGTTCTTCCTGTTTCAGCCCAGCCTGCCCTGCCAAGTTGTTGGTGCCGAGGGAACACAAACGTCGCGCGTTTGTGTAGCCTGCAAACAGAACAGACCTAGACCCACACAAGCGTATGTTGGTGATCACAGCATCTACGGATTTCTTTCACTCGGGGGGGGGGGAGGATTTTTTTTGCGGGGAGTGGTTAATCCCCACGATCTTTCTATTTGAATTTTTTATGGGGTGTGATCTGCATGCCGAGGAAGGGAGCCCCGTCGTTATTGCATATTAAAAGCTTGCCGAATCTACCACCCCCCCTCCCGCTCCTTCCAGCTCTTTCCTTTAGAAAAAGACCGAGCTGCTCTTCCTATGTTATCTATCTATATATATAAAGGAAAGCTCGGAGACGTTATTAGATCGAATAAGGGTTAAGGCTTGCAGAGAGAAGTTGCAGCTAATCTGGCAATGTTGTTATTAGGAGCCTCCTGGAGCCGCTGGCTGCAGCCACAGGCCCCTCCCCTTCCGTGCGAAACGTTCACTTCCTCGTAAGGTGGTACAAATCAACCCAGAGCCGCTAGCTACCGCTAGTGGAAACAGCACTTGCATTTGGGAAGGCAGAAAAACAACAGCGATTTACGAAAGGATTTAAAGCATCTTTAAGGATCTGAGTTTGTGTGTATGTGTGAGCGCCATTTAAAGACACCCCCCCACCCACCCACAAAATACTGCTTGTGTCCTCCTGGTCTTCAGGTACACATGAAATGCGCTTTACAGCCTCATAGATTTTATAACCCTATATAACAAGATAGACTGGTAAATCCATTGACTCGCCTTCCTCCCCACAATAGCTATGGCATTAAATAATATTGCCATATATTTATTTTTGGCCTAATACCCGTGTCTCCTTATCTCTAGGATAGTGCTTCTAAATCTGTCTCTGCAATGTTCAGCATTGCTTTTTGGATAGGTAGCATATGTCTTGGTCAACAGACTCCTATAAAAAATGTTTTACAAAACCTGCCAATTTTGTTTGGTAGCGTTGGATGGAGATGGCATGAAAAGCACACGCAAAACTGTTCCAGTAATGTCATCGCAGAAATCCTATTTCTTAATCGCATAATGTTAACAACTGATTTTAAATCTCAATCTGTCAATCTACATTTTACACTGAAGAGCACTTTCAGGACATTCCTAAACATGTCTACTCAGTTCAATGGAACTTACTCTCGAGTTACCCCCTAAATCTCGCTGCTCTCTTATCTGAATCTCCATCAATGGAAAACCCATTCAGCCATATTTTTATGATGCAGTTTTTCTTCTTCTTAGCATCAGCTTAGAAATATGCAAACTTTTTTTTAGAAATCCTAAGTTTAGAGTGTGTCTGCCCCCACCCCCGCAAGAAGCAACTCTCTTAAGTTTTCCAGAACTTGCACTGTGTACCACACGCGTTAGATTCTACACTGCAGCCCATTGAGCTTTATTTATAACCAATTCTGGTACATTTGTCTCCCTCGAAAAACAATCTTTAAAAATATTTGTTAAGAACTTTCCGCCGTGACTTTTATTCTTGATAGGCAAAAATAAACAAAAGGAAAAGGAGGGGGGGAGAATCAAACAAAGCAATTAAAAAGATTGACAGGTATGGTTCTGTATGAGACCTATTTGTAATTGTCAGGGTGACGTTGGCAAGAGGAGGAGGAGTAAAAAAAATCTGAAGCAGGAAAAGCAGCTCGATGTGTCTGTCTATCAGTTGAGACTGTCTGAAAGCTCTGGGATCTGAATGTGTGCTATATTTCAGTGAAAAGAGAAGAGAGGAAGAGTGGATCTCTTTCTCTCCCAGGAGTTTAAACGAGGGGGGGGGGGACAGTTCACGTTAATCTCTCCCACTCTGTGAATGTCTCTGCTTCTCTCTCTCCCCCCACCCCCGCCCTTTCAACACACTCTCTGGGGGTTGCCTGGTTTGGGGGCTTTTGTTTGTTTTCTGTTGCAGATCAAGATCAACTAAAAAAAATATTCCATGTTAAAAACGTGTTCGCATTATACTAGTATCAGAAGAAGCTGCGATCTTTGGAAGGAAAAAGAGAGAGAGGGGAAGCGAGGCAGAAAAGTAGTCCTCTCCGATGGTGCCACTGTTTGATCTGTGACTCTCTGGAAGGTGGAGGAGTGACTGACATTTCCCATCCGGTGTTATCTGTATGTATGGGGGCTTTACGCCTCTTTTTTTTCTGTTTGCTTTCTTGCTCAGACTAAGTGATGGGAGGAGAAGGGAAGACCGGATCGACCTCGTTTTCTGCACAATGAAAAAGCTATTATCGGCGCGATAAAAACCACCATCGCCAAAATCCACGAGCTTTTCTGAAACAAGCCAGAGAGCGAGAAAGTTGCGCTTTGAGACTCTTTGATCTTGGAGAAAGGCTTGCGCGCGGAGCGGAGCGGGGGGGGGGGTGGAGGCGAGTGAAGCGGAGGAAGAGCGCCTGAATCCACCACCATCTCCTCGTTTGCTGTGTTTTGCTCCACTCTCTGCCAAGGCGAAGAAGCAGAAGAAGTAATCAAGGAAGGGTGGAGGGAAGAAGAAGAAGGGGCAAAGGAGGAGGAGGAAAAGAGACCGGATCAAGCAAACGGATTTGAGCTGCACGTCGCCGGAGCCAGCCAGCCTCTTCATCTTGTCCATCTCCCTGCCGCTTGCATCTTCGACCGAGGGACCCGAGGCGCGAGGGAAGAGCGAGCGAGCGAGAGCTTTGTTTTGCGTATCGAAGTAACTTTTCCCTCCCTTCCTCCAAAAGAAGAAGAAAAGAAGCCGCTGGAAAGACGGGAGGAGGAGGAGGGCGAGAAGGGTGTGTGCGCGCGCCTGTGTGT